ACAGACAGACAGACAGACAGACAGACAGACAGATAGATAGATAGATAGATAGATAGATAGATAGACAGACAGACAGACAGACAGATAGATAGATAGATAGATAGATAGATAGATAGATAGATAGATAGATAGATAGATAGATAGATAGATAGATAGATAGATAGATAGATAGATAGATAGATAGATAGATTGATTGATTGATTGATTGATTGATTGAAATTTTTATTTAACCACGGTGGTTTTATCAATTGTAGATATGGCATATTTACATTTGCTCTTCCTAAAAACCGTGTATCTTAGGCCCCGTTTACATGAGACCGGGACGAAGTCAAACCGGAATGAGAATTGAAATTGTCAACATGTTTACATGAGACCGGTACGAGGATCACAAAATCTTCAATTTATTCCCCTTGCCAGGCAATTTTCTTTTTCAGGTGGCTTTTGCTAGCATGTGTTGTTCCAATGTCAAGATTACAGCCGAGACCAGTCTGAAATGTATTTGTGTTTACATTCATCCCGGTCTGAATTCATGCCGGTCTGAAGTCAGTCGGTTCGGTCCAGAAGGCGGAATGACTTGAGACCGGTCTGAGTTATTTTCGTCCCGGTCTCATGTAAACATCTATTATAGATAATACTATGACCGAAACGAGATGGTCCCGGTTTGACTTCGTTCCGGTCTCATGTAAACGGGGCCTTAATATTTCAATATAAAACTATATACAGAAAACATATTCTAGTTGGCACAGAATATATAGTCGAGTCTAACATTTTTACAAATATTTTAAGTGATGGTGCGTCTTTTATCTCATCCGGAAGAGAATTCCATAATTTAGCACCAGTGAAGGCAAAACTTGAATTGTAATACAGTGTTCGATTTTTTGGAAGTTCGAAGGTTATTTTAGACCTTCTGAGATTATATATATCCAAAGCATGACAATGTTTAAATATGTCTATTAAGTGAGATGGTGCATTACCATTTACTATTCTATACATCATCATAGCCTTTTGTTTATACCTCATTTCCTGAATATTCATCCAGCCAAGTTCTTTTAAGAGTTTTGAGGATGATGTTGAGAAATGTGCCCCAGTTATCACACGGGCAGCCCTATTTTGTAAAATTTGTAGAGACTTGTCTAATGTTTGACCAAGGCTGTCCCAAACTATGGAGCAATAAATGAAATATGGTTCAATTATCGCCCGATAGAGTGATACTAGGTTTTTTTGTGTTAAAATGGGCTTTAATCGCCTCAAAGTAGCAATATTACGGGATACTTTTAAGCGAATACTCTCCACATGGTTTTCCCAAGTTAAGATTTCGTCTATGTTTACTCCTAAGGATTTCACCGAACGAACTTGGCTTAATGAAACACCGTTTACTGACAATGTTATTGAGTCTCCCAAGGCCGCTAGCTTTTGTCGAGAAGCAATAACCATGAAATCGGTCTTTAAAATATTCAGTGTCAACTTGTTTGCACAAAGCCACTTGAATATTTTATTAAGCTCAATCTGCATTTTATTTTCGACCGATTCCAAATTGCAACCTGTGGAAGTCATATTTGTATCGTCAGCAAATAGCCTGGCAATTCCATGTTCCAAACAACTGGGTAGGTCATTTATATATAGCAAAAATAAGACCGGACCCAAAATAGAACCTTGTGGAACCCCGCAGGAAATGGTTTCTTCATTTGAATATATGCCATTTACATGACAAACTTGTACCCTATTTGTCAAGTAGGATTCAACCCATTCCAAACTACACTCTTTCAAACCATAACATGCAAGTTTCATTTGCAAAATTTCATGATCAATGGTGTCAAAAGCCTTCTTTAGATCAAGAAAAATCACACCGTTTAACATCCCTTTATCAATATTAAAACACCATTGATTTGTCATATCCAGTAAGGCTGTCATGGTAAGAGTGAAGTGAACGGAATCCAGATTGACGGGTATTGATTAGTCTATGTTTAGATAAATAAGCATGCATTTGGTTATACATAAGGCGCTCAAAGAGACGTGCAATTGAAGATAACACCGAAATAGGCCTATAATTATTTGCATTATCCCTTTCCTCTGTTTTATGTAATGGAAAGACTTTTGCAATTTTCCACCTTGTCGGAAATTTATTTGTTGTAAGAGAAAGATTGAACAAGTTTGTTAAAGCTTCATAAATATAAGGACCAGATATTTTTAATAATCTATTTGATATTTTATCACAGCCCGAAGCTTTACGCAAATTTAATTTGTTTATTAATTTAAAGACGTCTTTAGAATCTATCTTTTGAAATTCAAATGATGATTCAACCTGGGTCATGTAATCCTTTGCTGTTGCTACCTTGCCTAAAAGGGGAACATTGGAGGCCAATTTCGGACCAATTCCAACGAAATGTTTATTAAGCGAATTTGCAATGTCAAATGACTCGGTTATAAGATTTCTCCTGAGTCAGATGACAGCGTGTTTATTTCGATATTATCCGATTTCTTTAGATAGATAGATAAATAGATAGATATGAATGGTTTAGTGGTTTAGTACCGGTATTTATATCTTACATGCGTTTTGTTATTACGATAATGGATACTATTCTACATTATATATATATATATATATATATATACATACATATATATATATATATATATATATATATATATATATATATATATATATATATATATATATATATATATATATATATATATATATATATATATATATATATATATACAAACCTATAGTTGGTTTCTAGAAACCTATTGTTGGTTTCTGTAGGCTTTGTTTATATTGCTTTAATTAGTTTAATCACTTATATTGTTGTACAGTATATAAGGAGAGTAATTTACTATATTCATTTACGTTTTGACGAAGGCGGTGGCATGCTGCCGAAAATTTAAAGCTATATATATATTTTTTTATTAAATAATTTCACTTGGAGTCGTGGCAGTGTTATAACCTGTTTGTATATTACCTATGATTTGTCTGCCGAGCAGAGGGTGTACACTTGTTGCATATATATATATATATATATATATATATATATATATATATATATATATATATATATATATATATATATATATATATATATATATATATATATATATATATATTAATTCACTGCATCGAACAATACTATAGTTCGGCAGAACTAGTATTGTGCCATGCATGCATTATGATCGTCAAATAAACTCTTGCTGCCGGTCTGCAGTTTCGTTTTACTTAGGCTATAGTCATGCCCTTAAAATCATATTGTCATGCAACAACTTAATTAAACCTATTATTGTTTTGGAAGCAATTTTCCCATGCATGCACGGAATGTATTGATATGGGTATGGCTGAATGCTATAAAACAAATATTAATAGCTTATATTGACTGAGCTTTTTTATCCAGACAGTAGGGTATATTAATTATTACTATTAATACAGTCTCCTTGCTTTATCACTTGTATGTACCTCGCTCATATACGGTCAACCTGTTTCACACTGACAGAGTCTACATAATCTATGACATGACAGAGTCTACAGTATATTTCTCTTAATTGCTTAATAAGAAGTATTTTTCTAAGAATAAATTACAAAAAATACCACGGTATGATGTGCATTTTCATACAACCCCCGTGGATTTCTCAAGCCGACGTTGCATACAGTTGGCTTTCGCATGCTCTTGAAAATTTTGAGGCTCTTGACTAATTACATTAGAGCAAACGTTTACGGATTCGTCAAGCGATTGTCAATGTATTAGTACACTTTTAATCCTGTTAAGTGTTATTATGCGATGTTTTGGCCCTGTTTGGCGATTGAATTGAAAATAAATTATTCGAATTTATTACGGAAAGTGTTTACACGAGAAAGTTTTTCAGATTTATACTTTTTGTGTTCCCACAAACTTTTTTAAACGGCAATGCGAACCCGAAAACCACCCAGGATTCGTAACCACGGCGAAAACATTTGCCCTATAGTGTATATAAATGTAGTTTGAGTGTGTGTTGTACACACGCAACGTTTGCTGCGTGCATATAGCTCATGGACTTAGCCTAATCAGTCTTATAACTGAACTCAACTCAATCTGTTGTATTAATTATATAATCGTATTGCAGGCAATAAAAATTGAACTTTGTAGCACTTCACTTCAGTGAATTCGAAACCTATATAATGCAGGCATGCAAGATATGCGTTTAAAATACTGTAAAGCCTACCACAATTGTGTATACCAAATCCAAGATGTCTGCAAAATTTCAATGAACGATCACTTTCTGTGCAGTCCACATTATCCAGCCATATTTGTCCACGTCCTTCTGCGAATTCTCTTGTAAATGTTCCCGTTAAAAATCCAAGTTCACGACAAGCAACATTGCTGTTTATCTGGCTCCAGCCATCGTCGCAAACAGTTCCCCAAATTCCTGCGTGAAAGACTTCCAATCTGCCAGTGCTAAATCCGTTCCCATCAACAAGTCTCAAGCTTAGTAAACTAATGCCATTGATTTCTGAACTGCTAAAATTCTGGCCAACTTCTAAACTTAAATTAATGGGTAATATTTCAGTGCCATTTGCAACTAGATTTCCGTGAACAGTGAAACTACCGTTTCCAGAAAACATGATGTTTACACCAGGTTGGATTGTCAGAGTCGCGTTCTGATGAATATTGACAGTGTGATTTATTTTCAAAGTTTCATTTTCAAAGGAAATCGCGTGATCTTCGTAGATATCCGCAATAAATCCCGAAGTAGGGGCTACATCAGTGTAGAGAAATATTGCTAAGGCTAAGCAGAAGAACCTGCCTGCCAAATGAATGCACCATTCTCGGTGCAGCTCCATGGCGCAAATGAGGCATTTCAGCATAATTATTTATTAATCTATTGTGGAAATGACTTATTAACAATAAATGAATAAAACAATAATTTGTTTATATAACTACAGACTGAAATATATAATGTAATCGCATAAAATATTTGCCGCTTTCAACCAAACATTCTATAGTTGTGTTGGTATATATATTTACGTTGTTTTTGAGAAATTAAGAATCTACGCTACGCCTATATACGACTCTAACATCTTGAGGAGATAAATAAATGTGGTGCTTGCTCTAAAACAGGTCAATTATACAAAAAAAATGTTCCACTGTTGTATACCAGATCGTGGCAACATGCTGTGCGTTTTATCAGATTTTAAAAAGTTTGTTGAGCTATGGTGTATAATACTGATCTTACCAACAGAACGCTTTCAGTCTAAGTTTCCCCATGTCATGAGGGTTGCCTCATGTTTGTTTTCTACAAATGCCAGATAAAAAAAAACAGAAACATTTTTTTAGTTTCGCATTCGATTCAGCTGGGGGTTGCTTAATTTAATTAAATTCCAAACAAATGCTTTTATCTTATCGTCTAATTGATCGATTTATATTGAAGCGGCATGTAACCTTATGGCTAAATTAGAGGCTGCATGCTCTCCAGCTAGGTAAGCGTTTTTCATGCATGCGTGTGTACACGCACGGAAAAGTTTGAATACTTTTAAACGTTTCTAAATGAATATATAGATTGAAAATGAACTTTTCTGTGCGTATATATATATACGTGTGAAAAACGCTAAACTGGAAAGCAGCCATAACCGAGATAGGCCTACTGCTCAAAAGCGAGCAATCCGGGGGGATTAAAGACTATAGGAAAATATCGTGGGAATACAAGAATGTTGGCAAAGATACAAGAATACATGCAGAAACATTTTTTTATAGTCTCGCGCATTCGATTCAGCAGAGGGCTGCATGAATTCCAAACAAATTAATGCTTTTATCTTCTTATCGTCTAATATATATATATATATATATATATATATATATATATATATATATATATATATATATATATATATATATATATATATATATATATATATATATATGCATTACATAATTATTAATATATAGAGATGTATAATGTAATCGCATAAAATATGAGCAACGTCCAACCAAACATCCTATAGTTGTGTTGGTATACGTTGTTTTGGGGAAAACAAGTCAATTATGCAAAAAGTATGGTCGCACTGTTGTATAACAGATCGACTACCTGCTGTGCGGACAAAGAGTTCTATTAGCTAGAAAATTTAGAAAGTTTGTTCAGCTAGTGTATAATAATCATCATGCACGCCAACAGAACGCTTTCATGATTAAACTAGTGTAGTCTATACGTTAATTGTCTCATGTCGTGAGTGTTGCCTGATGTTTTGTTTTCCATGCACAAATGCCAAGGTGCAAAAAACTAGAAAACTTTTTTTAGTTTCGCATTCGATTCAGCAAGGCCGGGCTGCTTGAATTCAAAACAAATGCTTTTATCTTATCGCCTTATTGACTGCATGCATGGTCGATTTATATTGAGGCGTGTAACCTAGCTCATGGTTAAATTAAAGATATATACGTATACGTGTGAAAAACGCTTAATTACAAATTTCGGTCAGAATAAGAATCAGATCGACATGCATATACCGTCTCGACGTTCGTATCACGTAAATTCTGCATTCAAAATTTCGCCATTATAAGCTAATAACATTACAATCCTGAATCCTGTATATAACTTATATACTATAATTGTATCGTGTATAAATAAGCCTTTCAAGGTTTTCTCCACCACCCACTTTTGCAAACACAATCCGAAAACCTAGCTCTCTATATTGTTAGTGTATAGTAGAACGCGGCTATATCTCGAACTCCTCCCTATATCTCGAACTACAACCAATTTCCATGCAGTAGATTTGCCCACATGCATGCATATATATATTTGAATACGCTGGAAGCATTTCAGCATATTAATATATTGTGAAAATGAATTGAATAAAACAATTATCTGAACCGTTAAATCGGCCGGAGTACACGGCATGGCGAGACTATCTGTCTATAACTATAACTATATATAGAAATATATAATGTAAT